ACTGTTAAAACTACGAAGACCTTTTACGAGTTAAAAAAGCGCTTTGGCATAAACAAAAATAGCTAACCTGAACAACTGCGGCTGAAAAGATGCTTCATTCGCACGGATTGGCCTAATCAAATGGGCTATACAACAAACGCCACCGCTGAAGGATGCACGCGGAGTAAGCCGCATTTTAGTTGCCACAATATGCTACAAGCAAATACGCATTGTTAAGTAGGAGTAGCTGCCAGATTCCTCGGGCATTATTAAAAACAAGAGAATGAATTTGTTTTTTTTTTCTTTCCAAAACTGCCCATACCGAAAAGACTGAGGCGTGTCACTCGCTTATTTCTAAAATCGTCTCCAAGTTCACGAAAAACTTTCATCGCTTTGTTCACAATTTTGGATGAAATTAATAACGTATATGAGCGGTAAACGCAAAAAAAAAAAAACAGATTAGTTCTGATTTTCCAGCATAGACCGATTTAAGCAACAAATCGGCCTTCGTAAACATTTCAGACAGCGTGCACTCAGCGCATCCACTTCGAATAAACCTGCGAAGGCTTGAAAATGATGCCGAGTTCAAACCTTCTGTAAGTCGTCGAGCACTTCCGGCTTCCGCATACAATACGTGTCACACTGCAGGTATTCAGTAACTCGCGCTATCATAGTCGCTGGAAGAGTGACGGTGAATTTCGGGAACATGAATGGCGAGGTCGGACTTCGTGTTATCTTACTCCGTGCAGCGCTACGGACCACCAGTGCTCGCGATCGACGACGAGCCATACTGTCGCTGCTGCTCTGAAAATCGAGGCGTTTTCAGTTCGGATCTTTGAAGTGTGCGTGCTATTTTTAGTTGAAGCTTTAGCTATCACCAGGCTAGTGGAAACAGAAGCAGAAACCAAAAGCAGATATGCTGGGCTTGTTGCCCTACACCGTTTGTCTCAATTTTTTACCCGCCTCTCCGCGCATCATGTCTTTGAAGACCACCCTTGTTGTTGTTAGGTCTTCCGCACGCGTTATATTCCTTGAGAGGTGAAATCAACCAGTAACTGCCTTCTGGTGAACTTTCTTGGTTACGGCATTGCTCCGCACAAATTTGCTCTAATCGACAGCTTCAAATTAAGGAATGAAATACGTCGAACTACACTTTTAGTTGCTTTGTTGGCAAGCAATGACACTGAGTATCAGGAGGTGAAAACCAGTATTGGTTTGATGACACAGAGAGTTCTTGGTTCGTGAACAGTGTTTAATTGTGTCGCACAACGTATTGTGTTT